TGAGTCTGCTGCTTGTCGTACTGCGCATGGTGAGCATCCAGCTTGCGCGTACGACTTGTACTTGCTAGCTCCATAATTATATTATTATTATTGCTTGCTGTGTGATGTATGTAGCCCCGCAATCTGGCTCGCGCGATGTGTGTGATCACTTGGCTTTGCAAAGGCGGGGAAATGCAATCATCTCGATCTGCATGAAGGCTTGTTCCCTAGCTGGGGCGTCTGCTGCTGCCTGTCTGCACGCACACACACAGTATGCGTGCATACAGCACACACCGCTGCATGCATCTCTTCGGCATCTGCAGCGCAGCGCACCGTTATAGGGTCAGGAGAGGGTGTACTTGCACCTGCACGCCTGCTGATGGCTGTACGCACTACCACTGCTGTATCTGCTTACTCCATTTGTGACTGACTGCATGCACACCAGCAGCTGCAAATCCGTGTCTGATGCGTCACTGAACCGATTCTGCCTTACTGACTGTAGTGTGTACTGACCGTACTCGGTGATACTCTTACTGCAGCACGCGCGCGGGGAGACGCCCGCGATCGAGGTCGAGACCCGCGGCCCTGTCTCTCTCTCTACGCTGCTCTGCAGCTGTATACAGGTGATGATGCATGCGTGTCCGAGCTTACGCATATACAGTCACTGAGTAAATAGACCCGCTCGCTCGCCAGGCACCGGTACGGCACCGTCCCTACAGGATCGACCTGCTCATCTGCGACTCACCCAAATTGCTTCCATCTCAAATCTCCACGCAATCGTGAATCCCATCACTGTACCGCTTCCCGTCTATACGTGCCCGTTCAGCTCAGTCTCAATCCTCACATCGACCTTTTCCGGTTCCCGTCCTTCACCTCTTGGCCTACAGCGGCTGTAACAGTACAACTTCGCGCTCAGCGCATGCCTCCTTCCACACGAGATACCCGTGCACCAGGAGAAGAAATCACAGCCATCCGGCTGTACCTTTCCCGACTGCAAGCTTCCGCCGTCTGCCCTACCTTGCTCTGCTCGTTCAATCGCTCCGCATCGAGCTCACACCCGGGTCCTACACTAGCGCCGCCTTAAGCGACAATTCGGACCGTTCATCTTCACTAGCGAGCAGCACCCGACACTTCTGCTACTCGACGGCATCCTTCCCGCGCTGCGAAGCAGTGGCCAGCTAGAATTTCTATACCCAGTGGACCAAGCGCTGCTTATCCGAGCCTCGCTAATCCTCGCGTCCAATATTTGACCGAGGCAGCTGAGCTCGCAAATCCGAGTGCCGGCATCGTTCCTGCGCTGTGCAACAATCTCGCAGCCACCCTTCATCGCTATCCGTCCGCGTGCGGTGTGCAGAATTGGGTTGCTTCACCTTCCATCGCAA